GCGACAAAATTTATGCTAGAAATAGCAGTAACATGTTTTTCAATTTGAAGCGAGGTGATGGCCAAACTGTTTGACCACACAAAAAATCCAAAGTTATAACCAATTAAGTATAACGTTGTTGGTTTTCAATTTCACACAAAAAGGATTTTTCGGGATCGATAAGACTCAGGGACTTTAGAGTAAAGTGTCCATTCCCTCATAAAAGGCCGGCTACGTACCTGTTATTATCCTTGTGTTGCAGTTGTTCATGGATACTGTACCATTCACGGTAAATGAAAAAAAAAAACAGAAATTAGCAAATTTTTGTTTTTTCATTTACCATTTTATTGTATTTTTTTCTTTTAATTCGTGTGCAGAAACGTAAAAGGTTAACAGTAGTTAGTAATACTCCTCAGTGTATCAAATCAAATCAAATAATCCTATTTTGAAATGAGAACAACATTTGCTCAATAACAAACTTTAATAGATATTCAAAACTTGAGACGTCATTAGAAATTGGAAAATGAGAAACGAAAATATTATTACAAAAAAAACACATAAATTAACAATATTAAACATTCTTTTAAAGATCGAGAATCCATTGCCGAACACAATTATCCCGAAAATTACCGTACAATATGGTTTGACTTACATACACTGACTTTCTTCGTGTCTTACCAGATTATGACAATCTACACGAAGTTACTATTAAACAATCTATTTTAAATATCTATATGCCAATTCCACACTCGTATTTAGCTTAATCAGTTCGAACGTACATTTAAAAAGTGTTATCACTATCAATTGAATCATCATCGTTGTTATGATCATGCTCACAATTAATATAAAAACAGTAAGGTATCATGACCTCCTGTAAGCTCTGACAGCGCGCGACATGTTATACTCCCGCTCGGGACCGTAATGGCGGGAAAATTTGAAAATTAGCAAATTTTTTTGCTATATTGCAAATTTTGCTATATTTTCACTTTGAGACAATATTTATGGATAAAACTTACAGGAATTCTTGTTGAATGTATAAACTATCGAATAAAATTATTTTTGGTTGCTAGAAATTGTAATAAAATACGTAAATTACCCTGTATAGCTGTATAGTGGTATATACTTCAATTTTAGTAACAAAATTACTACTAATTTGAATTCTACACTTTTGTTTTTAGAGAAATTTATATGAAAATGTTTGGAAATATGTATATTTTTATGTTTTATGTGTTTCCATTCGTTACTCATACCAAAATATTAAAATATAAAGAAATTAAAAAAATAATAATATTTTATCTGTGTGACATTTAGAACAATATTTCTAAAATAGTTTTGTGTGAATTTGAAATAAATACAACGTCAAGTTATTTGAAATATGTAAGAAAACTATTTTTACTTACATTTTACACTAAAAATAAATGAGAATTTGAAAAATAACACATTTATGACCCAGCCGCCATAATGGGCCTTCCAGATTTTGAAGCACTTTTGGCAATTTACTTTTCACTTTTTATACCACAAATTATATATATATATATATATATATATATATATGTGTGTGTTCACTATATTACAAGGAATATAAAAAAGTATAATACTTTCGTTTTTAGTCCAGACACAAATATAAAATTCTATAAAAAAGACGGAGCACCTTCATCAAAACGGCACGTGGAACGCCGAAAGTTCAGAGTGATTTCTTTTTTTTTCTAAGAAACATTGCCAGGTTATGGTTTAAAATAAAAGAGCATATCTTTGTCTTTGATACTATTATCTATTGCATAGTGTCTTTGGTTTTGTTTAAAACGAAAAAATAGTTTTTTCATAGGTTCTGCTTGGCGGACGTAAGGTAGGTATTGTACGATCAAAAGTGCGCATGGCTTGGTTATATAAGGTCATGATATCTTACTGTTTTACGTGACCTGCAAGAGCAAAGATCTCTTTTTATGTGAGTTATAAAATCGGTAGCTGCATGTTTTCTCCACTTAAATGATACGTCATGGGCTTCACGTCTTTGTATAGATTTTTTTCTGAAAGCCATTGTTATATTTAAGACACTTTTCTCTCTTAAGCACCAATACACACCCAAAATAAAAAGCACAACTGTATTTTGAAATTAAGTGCGACAATATAAAAGAGATTAAGTACTAAGAACAGAAATAAAACGAGCGAGCCTTATAGAAGTCGACTTTATAGTTATTATAGTAGCAACTAAAATTAACCTCAAAATTTGAAAAAAGCTAAATACTAAAGTACTTATTCGAAAATAATATTATTACTTACTTGCATTTTTTATCAAATCTGCACTTTGTTCAGACACTAATTATCAACAGTTAATACATTCATTAATATAGTTTACACATATAAATTAGTTTATATAACAACACACTTTACTAGCACCGCGCGCGCTCGTTATTCAAATCAAATAGCGCGCGCTTCCACGGCTTCCTGTTATGGCGGCTGTGGAGACGTTAATTCATGCGCGAATTTACGCCATGAATTCACGGCACAAGTCGAGCCCTCCATATTCACGGGATGCCCACAATCGTTCATGAAACGCTGCGAAACCGACGTAGAAGCTGCTGCTGCAATAACTTTATTTGCTGTGGCAACATATCACCATTTAGACATCCAAACCCAGAAATTTATTAGAAAGCGTTAGAAAAAAAGACTAAACTAAAATACATCGTCCGTACGCCTTTGTTTTTGATCAGAAACGAACTGGCACGGGGCCGTGAATGTGGATGTGTACGCGCGAGGGGTGCGTGAACCCTTTGTCGCGGGACAAAATGCCGACTCTCATCGGGGAACAGGCGTGAATGCGCGTAAATCCCGCGAAAACATTCCACATCTACGTTCACGCCTGTTCACGGAGCTTCACGGCGATAATGTGGAGCCGTGGTTACACACTTCCGTCTCTTTTCCTGAAATTACTCCCACGGATTGCGTGAAAGCGAGAGGAAAGATGTAACACATTAAAAAACAAAATCCCAAAAATTAACAAGTGTGTGACACAACAAACATCAAAATTATAATTTTCCTTTATTTATTATCAAACTTGTCTGAATAACATTATAAATCCTATGCAATTTGCTAATTACTAGGTACACATTAACATCGCTCTTTGTAGTTAGGATTCCACCAAATCCTAAACTGTTTATATATCGTCCGTTGTTTCACTAAAGTCTCATTGTTAAGTGCAGCGCACAACGCGCACACATTGTCCGACGAGGATGGGTCGTGATAGGTGTAGTGATTCTTCCATCTGAAGTAGCTATTGTATAAAATAGGAGACTGCATCAAACGAGCTATGGTGTCAGCCAAGTCTCTGGGAGACATCTTCAGAGCATCCAGGTACGTATCCGGAGGTAAGAATCTGTGTTAATTTAAGCAAATGCATTAAAATTATTTATATTTTCATTATTAATAAGAGTCCTAAGCCATCACGCGGTCCCTTGATAGTAAGTGGATGTTGTGATCCATGAACATCTACACCTATCATCGATTAAGAATCAAACGTCGATATGTAGTCACCTCTGACTACATATCGACGTTTCGACTAAGAAGCAATGCCTCGTTACCAATAAGAAGGGTCTCCGGTTCTCTACACTCACAATACGAAACACAGCAACATTAAGCTGCTATTTCACGCTAATCTCACAAGGAACAAGTACTTATATGACTTACCAATAATAGATGGCGGTTGCTTGTTAATTTTAAATTCATGTATATAACACACCCCAACGATACAGGTGAATTTTCTTGTGTAGGAATAATACAGTAACAGATATAAAAATGCAGTACAATGGACAGTGACTTGAATGCTAGGTTTCCTTAATATAATGTTGCTTTTTGTTCAAAGCAAAAATATTGATAGTTATTGTTTCGAGCTATCACGATTGCAACGGCGACTACATGTTGTTTTTTTTTAAAGTATCGTAAGAAAAATATAGTAAAGACTGTCTTCGTGTTTGTTAGTATATCTTTCCTCGATTACGAATCAAAATGCGTTGTCACCCGTGAGGATTAAGATGGAATGCCTCGTTTCCAGTAAAAAGGGTCTCCGGTTCTCTACACTCACCATACGAAACACAGCAACACCGAGCTGTTATTATTATATTCTATACTAATATCCCATGAGAGCGTAGTCTTTCCCCGATCGTGCCGACCGATTTGTGCTATAACCTTAAGTTACTATTTTAAGCTGGTATTCTGTGAGAGCGTGGTCCTTCCCCGGTTGAGCCGATTCATGCGTGTAACAATTATACTACCAAATATAACTGCAGTATGGCTCTACCAGGTATAATAAGCCTAGCCCTAACACTAAATATAAATTCAATCACTCATTTAAAACAGCCCATAACAGTAGGTTGAGTAAATCTGCTGTTACCACAACGCCCATAATTTTAAGCTAATTTATACTAGAATTGATAACAAATATACATCAATATAATAACAGCCCCTCACAAGTCCACAGCTTACAAAAACCTGTCTTGATGATTGCCTCATAGGGTTGATATTTGCGATATTTTCCACGCTTGGTAACCATGGTCGTCAACCTCAATTTTTTAGTTGTCATTATGTCAGTATTTGCCAATCTGCTACTTTGTCTCTCTCTGTCGGTTCTTACGATGCCTATGGGACCAAATGAGGTAGTGGATATTCTAACACCGCCACCATATGAGTATATACAAAGTAAATTGTTAAAAAGAAGTTTCACTGGGTTTATTGCTGTTTCTTCCAATGAACAGAAGTTTTTTCCGAATGAGTGGTTAAAACATAAAATACCTTAAATAAGTATTATGAATACTCACAAAAATTAAGCATTCTATTCTATTCTGTTATATAATTGATTAATATTAATCGAAAATTTACCTTGTATAATTTGCGCCACCATATACAATAGGCACTGTACTATGTTTCAGAGCTGTCAGAAGTTTCTCTGTAACATAATCTTCCGCGAACGAGTTCTCTAAAGACATGTAAAAGAAATAATCCCGTTCTAACATATCGTCACAGATGTTTTTAGCATATCTAGGGCATTTCAATGGACCACAATCGCCATACACGTCTACAGCTAATCCACGTCGTTGCAAATATTTTTGTAAATTTCTTACTAATTCTTTTCTTCCACTCCTGCTAGAACAATTTGACACGAACCATGCCGCTGCCTTGCTCTTATTCCCCTTGAACATTACATCTTCTTCAAATGATAGATTTTCTTTCCATTCCATATCCTCCTTCGGCCCTACAACTTCACCGTTACGATTTTTTATTTTTATATAAGTAAATGGAATGTCAGAGTTCAATTTATATGTCGCCGTCCAATTAAAAAAATCATCGAACATGGCATTGCACACGGGATAATTATCTGAAGACTCCATATTGAAGTATATATATTTCTGGTGCAGCGATCTATATTTTGGTAGCTCATATTTTGTCATGCGTTTAATATTGCGTCCATTGAATGCTATGGCGTCGAAATGGGTCGTATCGCCATCGAAGAAGAACCTGTCATCTGTAACGTAACAGTTTATCATAGAACAGTTGTTCTTAAGGAATGCACGTTGCCCTTCTTCCAGTTGAAGGAACGGTTCATAATCTTTCCGTGTCCACAGCAAAATATACTTAAGGTCCTTCGACAGCCATTTCTTTTTTCTGTAAACCTCAACATATCGAGAATCTCTTGCGACATTTTCCAGTGCCTCTTGTATAATATTGTCGTCCACTGGAAAGTTATTTTCTTTGCTTGTGAATTGTATAAACAATATGGAAATAAGGAAACTGATAAAGATAACCAATAAGAAGAATTTAACGGTGGTCGTTTTAATCAAGACTGAGGTGAAATAGTACTGCAGTTGTAAGAATATAGGCATGCTTGCAGTATTCTTGTTAAGGCACTTTCTGGAGTAATTTGTGTTGGCAGGCATCGGTGCGTCTTGATAAAGAATCTCGGCGCTTGTACCTATAAAAAGCGAGGCCTAACGTTGTTCACTTCATATAAAAATAAAACTCGTTAATGTCTACAGTCATATCTTTTTTTTATAAAACTAAAGTGAAACGACCTTGGAGTATCTACGATGACATTTGGCTCCTGCGGTACATGAACACCTGCAGTCAACTTCAAACAAAGAATACTATAGATGCGTTGTCACCTCTGAGAACATAAGATGTTTTATAAATGTAGTAAAAGAGATTTTGATTGAATTTTTCACCAATCAGTTATATTAATGTGTGCCAGTTGTTAGCAGGGTATGCTTCACCCACAGGCTAGTAACGCTAGAGCCCAGGGAGCAAGGTCTGAGGGGGCGCTGAGCTGACCTTTGCAAGCTTTGTTCCTGACGTCACAGCGATATATTCTCCATGGCTTGTATCTTCGCGTAACGAACCTAAGACCGGTTCTACGAGCGCTCAGCGGCCCAACCATCAGCGTAGACACAGCGGAGCGCCACTTCGCACGCCACTTGCTCAGAATAACCCTGTCATTACCGATCGGTTAACGCATCTCTTTCATGCTGCGGCATCAGCAACATAAATGTTTAAAACAGATTTCAAGATGAACGCCCAGTCAGTCTTTATCAGTCTCGTTCCAGCCTCAGTCTCATTCAATCGCCACGGGTCATTAGCATATCATTACTATATCGTTATTATAATTCTTAATTGTTTCTGTATCTTCATTTTACTACAGCTCAATTGTTAATTTCCTTTCATCATTTCGTAGCTCTTAAAATACGGAGATATATATTTACTTATGTAGATATATTATGTAATGTCAAATTCAAGTCGTGCTGGTATTTGGTTCAATATATCTCGCATTTTTCAAATTATTGTCGAGAATTAATATAAAGCTAAATGAGTAGTAGTTACTCCTTCTATTATTACTCGAAATAAGATTTTACGGACTGTTAGTAACAATATACACAGCTGTTGTAGCGCTCTTCATCATCACATTTGACATCACTCGGTAACCCAAACAAATACGAAGTTCACCATGCAAAACACAGACTTCAGGTTTACTGACACCTCAAATTCGCAGAGTTCTGCCGCACCTGCGCTAAAGATCTGCCCCAAACACGAGCAATATTAGCACAAAACGCAAAAAAATATTAGGAAAAACACACGTCACTTAAATTAGCGCGACGGACACTGACACACTGATATATATATATAGGTTGGTAGACATGAGACCGATATATGAAAACATGACTAACAACGTTGTTATCAAAATACCATATCATATAGATAAACCTAAGTACACAACCGTTATCAGGTTATCAGATATCCTAAAACGAACTGCCAACACGGCCCACGAACTAACCAATGTCCGTTGTTTGATTTGATAGTCGTTGCGTGTTATCGTTATCGTATATACCATAAATAAGTATGGAAAAAGATGAAGCGAATATGGATTTCGTTGCGATGTTTTGGTAGTTATTACACAACGGCGCATATCACGAAATATAATTACCTAAAACAATAAGATCAGTGGTCTAAATTGCCCAAATTTTAAGTTTGTTTAGTTATGAGAGCTATTACATTTCAAAGGATCTTTAGGACAATAGATACAAGGCTTAGATTTGTATGACTATTTAGACATTTTTTTATAGGATAGGGTGACAAACGAGCACACAGTCCACGTGATGGTAAGTGGTTGCTGCGGCCCATAGACATCTACATCTATCCTCGATTACAAATCAAAATGCAGATGCGTTGTCACCCGTGAGGACTAAGATGGAATGCCTCGTTTCCATTAAAAAGAGTCTCCGGATCTCTACACTCACCATACGAAATACAGCAGCATTAAGCTACTATTTCATGCTGGTATTCTGTGAGAGCGTGGTCTTTCCCCGGTCGAGCAGACCCATTCGTGCTACAACTATACTACCAACATAACTGCAGCATGGCTATACCACATAAAAATAAGATATATTTGGTTAAGGTAATTTTTCGTTTGTGTTTGGATGGAAAATTTTGAATTTGATTTTTTTAATACAGCATGCCGTTATCAAATCGAAATCAACATAATGATTTCTTATATTTACGCGAACACTACACATTGATTAAAACTACTTTTACGGATTTTATGACTTTAATTTATTTTGTTTTTAATACCCGACGTTTCGGGTACTTTCCAGCACTCTCACCGGAGACTTTCCGTAACGTTTGGAGTCGGGGCGTAGGTGGCCGCGTTTACCACTAGTGGGTTAGGATGTGTCTCGACCTTTGATTATACACTTGTCATATAATCAAAGGTCTTGGCCCTCTCTAAGTAACGCTGAGACATTTCCTTGAAATATTCAGAGATCGTCGGAAGTTGTCAGTCTCTGTATAAATCGGAGTTTCGCTGGGTTGTTCAATTTGGGTTGGCAGTTTCACCGAGCTCCGATGGCTGTGCGAATTAACCTTAATTGGACGATTTGGAGGTCGCACAAATTTAGATAGGCAGCGTGCGCGAACGCAACCTTTGTAAAGATTGCGCTTGTGTCTTATGAACAATTTGCTCTTGCTGTTAACTAGCGGGTGTTGATGAGCTAGCGGAATGTAGCTATGGAGCCTTAATTCATTCAAACTCTAACATTTGTGAATAAACCATAATATTATTGACGTATATATTATTCATTATAAAGCCCCGTCTGGAGGCATTTTTATTATCTTTCACGTAGACTACGCATACCTGCCAAGGGACAAGGAAGGTTTATGTCAGATTCGCACCAACTAAAAAAACATGATATTCCTCCTTAGCCATATATTAGAAGAGTCGCGAATCGACTAACACTGGCCGCTCCATGGCGACCACTCCTAGATATAAAACAATACTTATCCCTTTCCCTTCTCAGGAAAGATGCATGGTTACAGGATACGAACACTCAGAAGCACCAGCCTTCTTGACCTCTTACTTATTTCGAAGAGTATAGCGAGTCAGTATAGTATCAGATTTAAAGGCTTTGAGGCATTCCAGCCCTCAGCGGTAACAACTCATCTATAGTCATTTTTGTTAGAAGTGCAGGTGTCCATTGCCTGCAGGAGTCACTTACCATCAGTTAGGCTGCCAGTTCGTATGTCACTTCAGTTTTATTTAAAAAAAAATACGTCGCTGTAATACTGGCATAAAATACGTTTATAACTTTTATAACCGCTCGCACACAATAAAAAGCCAAGGTCTAGAAATAAAAGAATGCTAAACGCAATTTTACTTTGTTTATTTTATAGGTATTATTCAATGGCTGGCGAATATAACACGTCTTATGAAGATAAGGTTTTATTGACACAACAAACATGGATAACAACCGTAATCTTCTCGAATTTACCAAAAATGCGCCCGCATAACAATGAACTATTAATCATTCTTAGTTCATTAGTTGGTTACAGCCTTCCGTCTCAAGGCTGGGCACAGGCCTCCACTCTTTTCTGAGAGGGTTTTAGAGCAAGGAAACGTCCGTGCTGCCTCAATGCGTAATGGCGAATTTCACGTCTTAAAAAAAGTCACATTTTCCTGTGACAGACATGCCGTTTTCCTTACGATGTTTTCCTTTACCTGCGAGAATGTGGCATATCAGCACTTAAAATTGCAATTAACAATTTCATTGGTGCCAGCGACGATCGACCCCGGGTTGTTCACGTGCTGGGAAATATACTGCGAGCGCTTAGCATCTTATCTACCACGGCTATTATTCACGGCTTCCATTAATCATTATTGCTTCTTCATAATCATCATCATTACAGTGTTTCATAAGCCCAGACTGAACATCCTCCAAGACTTCCTCTAAGCTAGATTACCGGTTCATTTCCACTTCGGGTTGCTGATATATTGGGCTATGTCGGTAATAAGAAACAAATATTTGTTTGGTTTAAAACGATTTGAAACCGGTCAACAAAATACAATAGTATATTTGCAACGATAGGGTATATTTATTATCAATACTTAAACAGAGTTATTTTGCAATTTACGACCAAATTTGCAGAGAAGGTACGAAATAAGTTAAATAGGCGAAAGGTGAAGAAATAAATTAATTTTAAAATATCTTATTCATTCTGATCCTTTTTATCTTTTAAATTCATAATGTATGGTTAATGAATTATTTTAACTGATTGTTATACATAAATATCTAACGCCTACTAATTTAATACTAACGCACACTTTCGTACGAGTCAATCGGTTGGCAACAACGTTGGGAATTGAATCGCACACAGGAGGAGCGCCTGTACCCAGTTGTTGCCCATAAATCGCATTAAATTTTTTTCAAACATAAGTAGAAGCCTTATTTACTCGCATTTTTAAACACTGGAATAATGTTTTGTCACTATTTATATATTTGATTTTGGCTACTCTTTGCAAAATAACCCTTTATAATAAATAGAATAATACTAAATGTGCAAGACGAAATAAACTTACAGTTGAGCTAACAATAGTTTTGTTAATTTTTGTAACAATTAGGTCCCGGACGCTATCGCGGTATAACATGTCATGCATGCATAATCGCTGATTGATGCGAATGATATGCAAAGCACGCGCTGACGTTTATTGACTATTCATTTATTTTTTTATCCTACTGTGACTGACTTAGACACATAATCGTCTTCGGATGAGTAATAATGGACGCCTTTGTTAAGTTCAATTTAGTCCTGACATAATTAAATTGATAAAACAGCTGCAATAATACAAATTTTAAAGGGTGTAAAAGACTCAGCTGTTAATCAAATTTAGAAACAAAGGAATAAATATTATTTTATGACTATTCTAGTACTTGTTTCGTTCGTTTACCGATAAATAAAGGTTTGTCGAT